CCCCCTTTCCCCGCCCCCTCTGTTAAAGTACAAGGACATTTCAAGAATTCGGGCCATCTTGCGAAATAAGCAGGAAACGATGCAACAGAGGGGTGCGTTAAGGACACTGCGAACACCACGGCTCTCCAAGAATATAACATGGTACAGGAAACCGCAACGTTAATAACCAAATTGAGGAACGTTTTTGACAGGGTATCCTTCGAAATGGACGGTGCTCACGCGTTCAATCTTTTGGGACAGTCCAAACGAATTACACATAACCTTACGCACATTATCCATTATCTGGCGAAGAGAACGGCGAAACAACGCGACAGGCGCCACACAACATAAAGCCAAAGGCCCGAAGGTCGCAACCGACCTGGTACTCAACTCACCTCTCCATGTATGTCCGTCCTCCCTTCAGGAGTATTTTCAGGAAGAATGTAAAGACGCAGGCTTGCAAGCGTCTGCTCGCTGTTTTTATCCACCCACAGTTGTTGCAATTCACCAATGCTCACTAGGTCCGAATCACTCCACAATTTTATGAACACAAATTCGTTTAACGCTAAAATGTTTTGTTTTCCACTTTTGTTATATTTAAAGGCTTTGTAGAAAGTGTACGGTCCATGAGTTCCGCAAGGCGCTCCAACCAACTGAAAAGAAAAGATCATGACTTAGACATGTTTCGAATCAAATTTGAAACAATTTTATTGTCACCCTTCTATCCAAGAAAACACCAATCTATATAAAGCCACATAAGTACAGTAGGATAGGCCACTGCACAGACCGTCTTTAGTGTCAATACAAAAGTCTTATATTTCCCACAAAAAATTCTCCACGGTCATCATTTGTGTTTCTCTACGAAGCTAATGTGTAAAACAATAACTCAGACGATTGACATACCTCAATATAGCCGTTGTCCATTACAAAAACGAGATAAATCACGGAGCTGATACATAGCACGCCACTACCACACAGTTCACTTTGTATTTACTCTAATTATGTGACGTCACCGATAGTGTTTCCTACCCGTCATGCTTTGAGACACAACAAGCAGACAGAAATATCCAACACAGTAATGGCGTATTCTTTCTCAACAGCTTGAAAAGTTTCTGGTTCATAATAGCTCCAGACTTTAAAAGTTAGTGTCGCACTTGTGTTTCTTTCAAATTATGGAAGAAATACGCGGATTTTGTCGCAGAGCGACCGACGTGAGCACCTCGGAATCGGGCAATAACTGAAATGTGTGTCGTCCGGTCGTCCGCTGCGCCCCACTCGGCGCACTACATTTCTTCCAACATCTAAGGTAGGCTCCTCACCGTGATTTGCTCTCGTTTTTCTTTTGTGAAGTGACAATGCGTCATTTAAGACTTAAATTTTCACACTTTCTATGCGCTTTATGCTGACTTCGTCGACAAATATGAATTGAACCACTGTCCTTTGTTGTGGGAATAAAATAGTTGCAGCGGCGCACTTGTTTTGATCGCGATCTCTTTTGTGCCGGTTGTCATGGAAACCTTTAACGCAATGTGATCTTAGTGACTTTAATTTATTTTTTAAATTAATACGCATTTCTTCCAATTTGCAGACTTACCCGCACTGTATTTTGGCCTCCCGAGTCGACGATCCGTCGTCTGCTTTGAGAGGTTAAGTGAGTGTCTTCACTTGACGTTGCTGCCCTTTTTACCGCAATTTCCTCAACCGTCAGTTCATGAATTCTTCTGAGATTGTACGGCATCATAAAATAGTATCTGTAGCACACTGCCAATCTCTTGACATCTTTCTTCTACTTCTTCTTTTTACAAGTAACAAGAGATTTAATGACAATCAGTCAAGGTGGGTACCTCAAAACTACTTAAATAATTATGTTGGATCATAGCTACCCTCAGATAACTAATTTCCTCTAAAGTTTATTTCAGATTGCCTCGTAAACCTCAGTGAAATTACTGTGCGCACTAAATCTGTCAAAACGAGTTCTTGCCGCAGAAAGAAATGATCTTAAAGGAGGTAATAGTTGCTTTCAGATTATTACTCTTTTTTACAAACACAATTCAGCTGGTGGTGGTATATCAATGGGTGATGAAAAATACTCCTAGGATTTGCTAGTGGAGGGGTCTCATGGCAGTGCTTTATCCTTTTCTCACATTCTGAAACAATCCCAGCTGCAAAGAGTAGGACTAAATATTCTAAAAATGAAAAAAAATATTTTGCACATCAAAAGCTGAATTTTAATCCAGCAATGACAAAGAGGTCAGCCTTTTTTCTTTGAACACTTTCTGCGCAATAGGCGTTGTGACCCACTGGCCATGGTCAACGTTTTCTGATAGACTGGTCATACTCTCACATAGAGGACGCTTAGTCACCTTTGACATCGTTATACTTTTTTCTTCGTATTTTTTATGATTTGAAGTCAAATTGAAACCCTTCGTTTTAGTTCTAAATGGTAGAGGGTGTGTCATTGTCACAGTGATGTCTGCCACTGGGTCTCATTGTCTATTCTATTGGTTCAATGTGTGGACCTGTTAAATGCGTTTTTGGACCCCTTTAGTCCAGAAAGTTTTAAAATTATATGATGATTCGCACCTCTGACCCCCTTTTAACCAAAATTGCTTGGAAATTAAATTTTTTTGTGCACTTTTATAGTTTTAATTTTTTTCCTGCTCCAATTTTTTTGTATGCTGTGCGGTTGTGACAAAATTGTTTAAAATTGACCACTTTCTGATATTTTTATTTTATTTTTGTCTCACTCCCATTTTTAAATATTTAAGTTTTACGTCCTTTTATCTGGAGTGTTACTGAAATTGGGCAATTCAGGAAACAAAATTCACCTATTCCATAATAAAAAGTGCTTGATTTCTTAGTAAAAAGCTGTACTCATGCATTCACTTCTTCATTCTTTTCTGTTTCCCACCATCAAAGTGCCCTCGTTTTCTTTCTCTTTTCTTAAAAAAATATTCAACTCATGCTGTCAAAAGCTTACAGAAGCTTAGATAAAAAGAAATTGTCTTAGGATTTGATGCACAAAGATTAGGAGATCAGATGGAGAACTTTTTATAAGCATTTTTGACTTTGTTTTTATTTTACGTTGCTACACATTGCATTGCATGCGTACCAATACCTCCTGCTTCAACATTAACCAATGTTTGCTCAACCTTATGTGAATGGTTTGTGATGGCATGAGCAAAAGTAATGTTGGTTTTGAGCAAACAATTATTCCATAGAAGGCTTTGTCTAAAAACCCTTGAATAACCTGAATTTTGTTGTTGTTTCTAACAGAAGGTTAAATCTTGAACAATAGTAAGTAGTGTCAGTGGTAAATTTGAATAATTTGACAATAATTGCATACTTTTTCAAAAGCTGTTGCATCTCGTCTATTTTACGAATTCATTACTTTTGATCTCTGTAGTTAAAAAATCACTGAAAAGTCTACTTTAAATATTTGTTACCTTAGCTTTTTTGCAAGGAACACCGATACAAATGGCAAAAGGACTCTAAATCAAGATTCTTTTTAGCATTACCAAATTAACATATGTCACATTGATGATGTGATTTGATTTCTAGTTGACATAAAGCTAATCAAGGCAGGCCCCCACTATGAAAATTTTGACTATTACTTGCCCTTGATGCCTATTTTATAAATCTGTTAATATGCCCCTCTTGGGTCTTCTTTGCAAAGGCATACAATTTAATCAAAATCAGAAGAATTTAATTTCTGACATGGTGGAAAATTCCTAGTAAAAAGATTGTTCCACCACTTTGGAGTACAAAAGATTTTTCTTGAAGTGCTTGGTCATATGTAATCTGTAATAACAAGGTAATAGTTTGCTTGTGAATATCTTTGCCTATTTTCTATCTATTTTGATCCGTGGGAGGTGGCTGGACTAGTTTTATTCTATAACGGAATTATCATGTGCAAATAATGTATTTATAAAATTATTTTTTGTCTGTTCGTATTGATAAGAGCATCTGTATAAAAGCCAATTGACATTCAAACCAAAAAAGTATTTTGAATTCTTAAATTTATTTTTTATCACTTGAGTTTTAAGAAGAAACTCTGTGGGTGCAGGAGGAGGTGCACTTTAAGGATGGTCACAACCTCTGGTGGTGCTATATCAGTCATTGTGGCATTGTCATGTAAAATAACTTGATTGTTTTTTATTTGTTTTTTTGTTTGCAAACAATTTGGCAATTCTTTACTGAGTGATTATCTCTTGTTGTTCTTCCATTGAGTATGTGTGGGTATGGGTGTGTTTGTTGTGTGTTATATGTTAACATTTTAACATTATAATTTTGTAGAGATTTTAGAGACACCTTTCATCAAAGACATCCCAAAGTGAATCAGACATCAATATGTCTAAAAAGGAAAAATTGTTCATGTTGTGTCTGCTGTAGCTCCTTCTGTTCATTGAACTTACTTATCCTTTGGCCAATCCCCTGTTACATCAGTTAAATTTTTCTGTTACCAGAAATAAACTGTTATTTTATCTATCTCAGTGGGGACAACTCTCTGAATAATGCTCTTGTGAGGTACATAGGAAGCAGGATAGCTCAATTGGATAGAGCACTACTCACTAGTAGAGGTTCCAGGTTCAACTCCTGGTCCTGCATGTGTTCCTAAGAGCATGTTCACTGACAGTCCAGCAAACATAAGTTTGACAATTAAATGCCAGTGTGAAAATCTATGGTCTCTTCACCCCCCTAGCTCGGCTGTGTTTGATATTTAATAGAACTTCGCATGGCATGTCTAGTTTTATCAATCTAGCCGATGGTGCCTTTGGTTCATTCTATCTGGCCTCCTATACATGATAAACACCCAGTGTCTCGAATAAAATGGATTACTCATAAACTTGGAAAAAATTCTAGTAAGCTAGTTTTAAGTCTTGCTTCACACCATTTAAAGGTCAATTTCAAGTTCCTGTTTAATTACTTTTCATTATTTTCAGTGTTTAGTGAAATTTTTTAAACCTTCCATAGTGCTGTTGAACCCAAAATGATAATGCTAATCTTACCAGCCGATTATAGATGTTAAGTAGTTATTGCAGTTTTTTTTTCTTTTCTTTTAATTATTTTTAACTGTTCTTCAATTGTGTTCTTATCCATGATTCTTCTACTTTTCTTTCTAATTCTTTTACCTACTCAGTACGTACCCCCCTTTCCTCTTGCTTCCCCTACTTTAGTCCCTCCCCCTTTCTTCCTCACTAATGAAGCAAGAAAATCAATGCCCTTCCCTGTTTGAACTGTCAGGTGTAGTGGGGGCCAAATTTAGGAGGCAGTACTGTGACCATAATATTGACCTTGGGACCCAGGCCTGGGACATGATGGTACATGCTAATGCTTATAATATGGCACATGTCCAAAATTCCTCTCAGATTCTTTGGAGTTTCACAATGACTCAATGTCCTACCAGCCAAAGTTAAGTCATTTTGACCACCTGCTATGATGTCATCTTGTTGTCAGGCGGTCAAAGTGACAAAATTTTGACATTTCCTTGTATTTGATGTGTGTATATTTAATGAGAAATCTGTGGCACTTGGTGTAGGGTCATGGCAGAAATGAGACTTTTCTCGGAATTTGATCTTCCCAAGCATTTAATTTGTCATTTGAGAAGTCCTACTGCTTCTGGACGATGAAACATATTCCCATTTATAAAATTTTGTCGTAATTTTTGTGATGCAATTTCTAAAAGCATGAAAACTATATTGACAAAGCAAATGTCTCATTCTCCCCAAAATTTGAGGTGTCCTCATTCTCTTCCGTCGTGACCATATGCTGTCGAGCATCTCAGGGGTAACTTTCACAATCTCTTTTTTTCCACATAGAAAATTCCCTCTAATAATGAGACACGTACATCATAAAACTTGTTCATAGACCTGAATCATACACAAAATTCGAATTTGTAGAGCCCCCAGCTTTAATCCACAGGGGTTCAAAGTTTAACGATAGGCCGAATAAGTCATCACAGTGCGGTTTTGTTCCGATGTAACTGCAAGAGTGGTCGCGGTGTGACATGTATGACAGAGCACTGGCGGACCAGATTTATCCCAGGACGCCCGCAGGACATGCTGCGAGGTAAACGAGGAAGAGGAAGGTGACTGCGGGAGGTGGGGGGCGCGTGCCCATGGCGTGCCTTAGTGCCCGTGGCTCCCATGGCGCCCGCCGCGGCCCGTCTCGTCCCGTCCCGTCCGCCCATGTCACGGCCCGCCGCGGCTTGTCCCGCCGCCCCGGTGGCGGTGCTCACAGTCATAACGCGGCCTCGTGCGGGGCCGAGACCCGCCGAGACCCTCTCCGGGGCGGGGAAGTGCCTCGTGAGCGCAGCACGCGCAGCATGTGCGTGACCCAACGCGAAGGCGAAGGTGCGTATGGCGTAGGCGTATGGTCGAGTGTTGGGCACTCGTGCTTATCAGTGTGGGACTCCCCCGAGCAGCCGGCGGCCGGCGCCTTTGTAGCCCGGCCAGCGCAGCGCCACAGCGTCAAGAGCACATGCTCAATCTGCAATCAGCTCGACCGGGAGCGAATGTACAAATGGGTGCATTAGTTACCCAAGGAGACCGTTCAAGTCAAAATGCCGTGAGCGTGGTGTCGTTTTGATCTCGTAGGTCCTAGACGTCTAAATGACGTCCAAACCATTTTGACGTTGTGTTTTCAGTATAGATATCGACTATGTAGAAGAATCTGGTGCAGGTGACTTTGTGGAGGACCCGCGCGAGATGCCATCAACAGATGATCTCTGCTCAGACCGGGGAAGGGCAAACCATTCTGAATTCCTAGCGAGGTAGTTGAGAGACGTGCATGCTCTTATCACCCACACATGCATGCCTGCACGCCTCTGCATGGGCCGCACGGCCTCCGGCTTGGCCCCACTCAAGTGTTGGTTTTGACTGGACAGTTCTGAGCACGGAGCTCAAATGCTTGCCATGCCGTTACACCTTGTTTACGTTTCCACAGAGAATATTTGAGACCAGAAGCTCGCAGCTCCTGGCCCCGCCCAGTCCCACCATGATGGCCGAGGAGGGAAGACAAGGAGGGGAAGGACAGGCAGGAGAATTTGTTCAGCCAGCTTCTTATCAATCGGTAAGTGTTTCTGTTGAAGTTCATTAATAATGGAGTCTACTCAAGCCTAAATAAATTCCTCTTAGATCATGACATTGATATTATGAAGACGTAAATAGTCCCTAAAATAAATAATTTAGACCTCTTTGTTCTCCCTGGGAGGTAGGGTCAGGGCGGGTAAGAATGATTTTTGATCTTCCTTCATTGCCTGCGTTTTCAAACAAACTCTATTTGTATGGTCCTATGTATTTTGCAATATTTTAAGACTGTTCTCTTAATTATTTTTTCAGCCTTCTATTCAAACTTCTACACAATCTTTGGAACTAGGAACATCGTCAATAGATAATCTGACATTCACAAAATCAAAGATAAGATCAGATGAAGAGCGTCTCTTGGTTGTGAAAGGTTTGTGTCAGTTCAATGTCTGGCGGTGTAAAAGCATGATTGTTGCTTATTTTGCTCTCTTTCTATCATCAATACTGTGATATCTTAGCAGTGATTTTAGTTTGAGAAAAATAAATATGTTTCAAAAACATAGGTGCTTTTGTTGTAAGTAGGAGTTGCGAGGAGTTGTCAGTAGATGTACAATACTTCTATCGATTTGAAAATTTAAAGATTAAATCACTCCCCCCTCCTCCTTATTTTTATACTTTTAATAGTTAATTTATGCAAAAATAGGCAAAATGGGAAAAATAAACAATATTGAATACTTATGCAACTAGTAACTTTCAAATCCTTTTTTCGTTGTTGTTTTACAATTGGATTCTTGTTTACCTTACATGTTCTCTTTTTTTTCTTCAGGCTATCGAAGCACTTTGCGTCTGTCATTTTTGCTGGTTGTGCTATCGGCATCGTTAGTTGCTGCCATTCTTCTCGCTGTCTTTTGGACAAGCAGACATGAGGCGCCTTTTGATGTGAGTGAGATGACCTCTTTCTTTCATTCTGCTTTCATGGATAAAAAGTTTTCATGCTTAAAAGTATGGTTGTTTGAAGTAATCCGCAAACATCTAGAGATCTGTCATGGGAATTAATTCTGAAGTCATTATCTCTGTTTGCCCTGCTTAAAGTGTTAATGCCACGAAGGTTTCAAGGTGGTAAAAAAGACGAGAAAAAAGTTTATATTGACAAAACTACTCTTCCAAATTAAAATAATTTAATTTTAGGATACAACCCATGACGTAATTTTACCTGAGTGATTAAATAAGATCCATGTTCAATCAAAAAATATCTTTTTCAACTATCCAAGTTTAAGTAATAGACTATGACAGAGATGACATAAGATAACAAAATGATTTTATGACAACAGTACAAAAAAAAAAACAAGTAAAAAAGTGAAAAGTTTGAAAAGTACAAAAAAATTGATTACAGAAAGAGAACAACATACTACAATAGCTTAATTTTAAAGAATTAGTTCAATATCCTTTATGGGTGATTTATGTTAATGAGCTTTTGGTTTATTGGCTTCCTTATAGTACTTTTTATGCTTGGTAACTAGAAAGGTCTAGATTTAAGCTTGCTAGCTCACTGTCGATCCAATTGCGGAAGTAAGCAACATTTCCGTATACTCCAGGGGTGTTTGCCAATCCGCAGTCAATACCCCATGCAACTATACCAGCCTGATAATAACGACTAGGGTCATTGTCCATGGGGCAGACTAATGGGCTGCCTCCATCACCCTGCAAAACACATTCATTTGTCAGATGAATCAGAACAATACTTCATTTTAAGCAATTACTGAGAATATTTAAAATTACCTTGCAAGTATCTCGTCCAGGCTCTCCTCCAGCACAGATGAAACTAGCGTCCAAAAGAAAATATGCTCCTAGGCGAGTCTTGCGGAGTAATTCCTGGCACTGAGTACTTGGAACGACAGGAAGGTCACGCTTCTTAAGAATAACTTGGTACTGACCGTCTTGTTCTGCACAAACAAAAACAAAAAAAGGTCAATGGTATTCTGAAATTTTCGTCAAAATTTCTGATTGACTGCTACTTACCAAACTTGTCTTTTCCCCAACCACTTGCAAAACACCTCTTGTAATCAAATCGCAGACCCGGGGGTGGGAGACATATGGTCCCAATGTGGCCTCCGATCTGCACGGGGTCCAAGAGGATCAGAAGGGCCACGTCGTTGTGGAGGCTCTTGTCGTTGAAGCGCGGGTGGACATTGATGGTGGCCACTCCACGGTCCTGGTGGACGTACAGCTCCTTGGTTGTCTGAGTGTCCCACTCACCCGCCCTAACCTTGAGCAGATTAGCCTGCTTACTGCAATCGAAAAAGATAAATTTACTAAAGTTCCCAAAATCGCCAAAGAGAGAGGGTGTGGGTGTGTGTGTAGGGGGCGCCTGGTGGGTAGGCCCGCCCGTTACACGGGGCTGCTGCGCGGGGCGGCCCGCCCGCCGGGCGCTCTACCTGCGCTCTGCGCTCTGCAGCTTACCTCGCCACGCAGTGCGCGCCCGTCAGCACGACCTGAGCGGTGATGAGCGCGCCGCCGCACTGGTACAGGTTCAGCGGCTTGGCCTGCCCGTCGATCCGCTCTTGCTGCAGGATGGCCACCATCCAGGGGAACTCGCCGAACTGCGCCTCGCCGTCCTCGCCGCCCGTGATCCTGAAGCCCACGCCGTCCGGGTTCCTCTGGCCGCAGAGCTGCGCGCGCGCCGGCGGCGTCGGGTGCGGCCGGTCGATCTGCGGCTCGGTGGGCCGGGTGGGCTGCGGCTGCGGCTGCGGCCGTGGCCGGTCCGTGACGGGCGGGGGCGGGTACTGCGGGGTGGGCTCGGTGGCCCAGGGGTCCGGGGTAGGGCCGGGGGTGGGCCCCGGAGAGGGCGACTGGTCGTCGCGCAGCTTGCAGCACGAGTCCAGGTAGTGCTCGCAAGCGCCCTCCTTCTGCCGGATGTCGATGATGCCCACGCCGTCCTGGATGACGTAGTGGTTCTCGTCGCACTGGTAGTATGCCACGCACACGCAGTCGTTCGACGGGGTGATGGCGCCGCCGCTCAGCCCGTCGTCGCCGGACTTGGTCACCTCCACGTAGTTGGGGTTGGGGGTGAATGTGTCGTCCTCTTGCCAGCCCTGCAAATCACGACCGGAACAACATTCGTCTCGGGCAATACTGGCGATTGTTTTTATTGAGTTGGAGTAGAACCAACAAGCGTCACTACGTCGTGGTCACGCCACACGAGGACTAAACTTGTTTAACCACCCGTGGTGCCTCGCCTGCACCCGTGCCGGAGCCCCTGTGGATAGGCAACTTCTGTCGGCTGTGCGCTCGCTTGTCGGTTGGGCTGCCTACCTGCGACGCGCGGGCGCCGCCCTGCTCTACGCTGTCCTATGATATTCGTTGTCAATGGAGATAAGGGGCGGGGAACCCACATAACGGGGTCAAGGAAACAGAAACTCCATTTAACACTCAGGCAATGCTCCCTTGGTGTTGGCGTCTGATTCGACGGCACTAATACTTACGTACTTCCCCTATCCCTCGCCTCGTCTTTGACTTTGACAACTAGTTAGTCGCGGGCCTTCCCGTATCGCATCGCATGGCACGAGCTGCGAATGGGACATTTCTTGGGTGTCTTGAGATTTCCTGTTGGACGGCCACTTCTTTACACGAGGGCCATAATGTACCTTGGACACTGGAGAACCGTCGAAAGTGTTTGGCTACGACACCATCCTATCCTTTCTCCTCAGCCGCGTGTGCCCAACATGCTCCCACCAGAACAACTCTCCACCAATCTCTAGAGGTGCTTTTGCAGTCCCGCAACTCACCTGTCTGTTTCCGACTTTGTTTTTGACCATGCCGACGAGGGCGCGCTTCCCGATGTTGCGGGCCGTCAGGTTGAAGGCGCTGGCGGCGCAGAGGGTGGCTGCCAGCACCACCAGCAGGCGCGGGACGGCAGCCATGGCGGCGCGCGGGTTGCTCTCGACGCGGTCCTCGCCTCGCCGGGAGCACTCTCCGGGCGCGGTCCTGGTCGCGAGAAGTTCGGCGGGCCGGCGCTGGCGCTGCTTGGCTGGGCTGGCGGGGGACCGTGAGGGGACTGCCGCGCAGTCACGGCCCCGTCCGTCCGCTCTTCGGACAGGCCTCGCCTACCGCCGCCCCGGCTCGGCTCGGCTCGGCTCGGCTCGGCTCGCGAGCCTGGCCTGCCTCCGGCTGGGTTTGAACTCCGGCGGGAGCGGCTCGCAGACAGACAGTCTCATCAGAGATGACCGCCTGCCCCGGAGTGACGCAGATAAACAATCATTAGATTGTCGATTACAAAGATAGCCGGTGCTGGTGACGGCGCAACACCCGGAAAAGTACAATTTCTTGGGAATTGGCTGTCAAGTATTTCTGTATTGCTGGTGCGGTGTCGTGTGAATGTAAACAAACGCGCGAGGTCATCAAGCCACACCTCGAGAGGACCTCGGCTCCGACGTCAGGAGAACTATGAGTCCACCTCATTTGCTGGCTTGTTTCTGGCAGCTCCCCCACCCCCTCTTTTTATGAAGTTTGTATCTATTTGTGACATCACGTGCAAACTATGCACTAGTCTTTTGTACCATTTTTTTGTTTGTCTAAATTTCGTTGTTAAAGCTCCGATGGCTCTCTTTGGCCACGGCCATCGGCCCGGTTATGGCAGGGTCAACGCACAGAGACATGCCCGACATGCCTCACGCACAAACGTGGATGACGCACACGGGGCGTTGGCGGAGCTGGAGTACTTGTTTTGAAATTGCCCGGAGAAATAAGTTGGCGTCGCGCTTGCTGGGACTGGATTGGACTGCGACTCGGCCGGCTGACTTGGTTCGCGAGGAAAGAAAAAAAAAACAAAAAAACAGTTGTTTATGTTTAAAATTTATTTTTACGATGGGACCCGTCTCATCCTCAAGACCGGCCCCCCGGGCCCCCGGGCCCTCAGCGCACCTCGCCGCGACTGGTTCGGCGTTGGCGTTCCCCGCCGCGTCGGTGCACGCCACGCCTCGCCCGGGGCGCGCTAGCCGCAGCGCTGCGGCCTCCGGCTGGACACGCGGGCCGACACCTCCGGCTGCGTGACAGTGCTCGGCACAGTGCGCTCCACTAGGGCTTACAGATTTTGTTTTCGGTCCGATTGTATTAAGACACGCACAATGTACAAAGATAAAGAATTTTACAATGGGAAAGATGTCTCCCCAGACGTGCTTTCGGACTTCTATCGAGTAGTTCTCGGGGAAGAGGTCTATACAGCCAGTGATAGCAGTCAGACTTCAGTTTCTCCAGGCCTGGATGCCTGGATCGAGGGTCAACGGAATTAAGGAGGTTCTGCATGTCCGCCGATGCCTTCCACCCCGCAAGCAGCGCGGGCTGCTCGGCAGGCTTATCGCAAACAAGACATTTTTTGTTTTGCTTTGGACTGCTTCTTCACTGTTATGGTTTCCCGTCGTCTTACAGATAAAGTACCCTGTCCTGTGTCATGCGATGCTGCTACAGGGAGGCTTGTCTGTTGCCATTGCTGTATGAGGTCGACCTTTTGAGACAACTGCTCAAAAACTTACCTAATTTTCGGGTGAAGTCGAATCCAAGCTCCTGATATCACTGTTGTAATGATAAGTCGAACTAAATACTACTAGTATCAATTTATTGTAATAATGCATCTTACGTTCGGAGCAGAGGAGGTTAGGGAATGAGAAAATGGGCTTGTTTCAAGCCAAATGTAATATAAGTACATAAACATGGCGGGATTAAAATAACTGAAGGCTCGATTTCGTTTGGTAGACATTTGATAACTTCTGGGGACTAAAAATCCTCTTGCCTATTGACTCCCGAAGATTGCTGTGGGATCCAGCGAGTCGCGGTGAGAGCATTGAGGCTCCAGGCAGGTATCACCGGGTACCGGGTATCACTGGTGTCACTGAACGATATCGGGATGCACGTTGACGATTGGGCAGCCGCGTGGAATCGCTTGAGCCGCTATGTTCGACAGGTTCACGCACCGTTCACAAACCTTCCGTCTCTTCTCGCGTACCGCCTCGACTGGTAGTGGTGGTGGTGATAGTGGTAGTAGGCGAGCGGTGCCCGTCGGCATCTTTGGTCAGCCTTTTCGATCCACGACTCGTTGGCAGCCGCTGGACTTGAGGGCGCAGAGCGGCGCTGGTGCCCTTACAGAGACGAGCTGGGCAGGGCGGGGTCGGCGGGGCCCGAGCGCTGGGCGTGAAGCTCCGCCTCCTATTGGCTGTGGACCGGTTGGGGATTCCCTCGCAGCCTCGCAGACCGGACGGGGCTGAGCGCTGAGCCCCGCGCCCGCCCCGCGCGACCGATGGCAAACAGGTAGCGAATGATGTGTGTACCCCGTGTTGACATGCCCGACTGAGGGGACTGTCTGCATGTACGTGCGTGTGTATGTGCCGATGTGGGCGTGTCGCCCGGGCACGTGAGGCCGGACGTCACGGGGCATACGGCGGGGAGAACCCGCGACGCACGCAGAGCGTCGCAGAGCCTATGGCGTGAGGCGCCGGAGGTCCAACAACACTGTCTGCTCTATGTCTTTGCGTGGGCGAAGTGTGGCTGACCAGCGAGCCCAAGCAGCGCACGGGCCGCTCACGTCGTGGACTTGATCCGCGGGGTGGAGCCCAGGTCACTGAGGGTCTTGTCGATCCAGCCGCGCACCACGGGCACGTTGGCGTACAGCCCGGGCACTCCGGCAAGCCCGCAGTCCACGCCCCAGGCCACCACCCCGGCCACCTGGTAGTTGCCGTCAGCCATGGGGCACACCAGCGGGCTGCCGCCGTCGCCCTGAGGGAGAGGGGTGGAGCATTAGACCAGGTCGGACCCGAGGAAGCAGTTGCACGCTCTACTCCGCTCTGCTCGGCCTCACCTTGCACGTGTCCTTGCCCTCCTCGCCGCCCGCGCACAGGAAGCTGGCGTGCAGGTTGAACTCCTCGCCCAGCACCGTGTACCGCAGCAAGTTCTCGCACTCGTCCCGCCGAACCACGGGCAGCTCCAGGCGCTTGAGGTAGCGGTGCGGCCAGCGGTCGTCTGCAACACAGAACGAGACCAGATCAATGAAGAAGAAGACGAAGTTCTATCGGGTACCTGCCTGCTGCACCTGCCCCATGTGGACTTACCCAGTTTGTCCTTGCCCCAGCCCGCGACCAAGCAGCGCTCGTTGTCGAAGACGGTGCCGTCCCCGGGCTCCGGCAGGCAGATGGTGCCGATGTGGCGGCCGAGCTGCAGCGGCGTGTCCAGCACGAGCAGCGCCACGTCGTACTGGTTGTTGCCGCCGTAGTACTGGTCGTGCAGCACGTAGCTGCTCACGACGCGGTCCTGGTGCTTGTACAGCTCGGACGTCGTCTCCCTGTCCCACTCACCCGCCCGGACCTTGAGTCGGGACGGTGCAATCCTGCAAGAGGTCCTCGCGTGAGTCTCGACTCACACTCCAGTACTCCATGGAGCACTCCAGACGCGAGCGCCACTCACCCCTTGACGCAGTGCGCCGCGGTGAGCACCACGACGTCGTTGAGGATGGCGCCGCCGCACTTGTAGTCCTCGCCCGACTTGCCCGACAGGAGGATGGCCGCCATCCAGGGGAACTCCCCGAAGCCCGCCTCGCCCTCGTTGTTGTTGACGATGACGGAGGCGACGCCGCCCACGTTGCGCACGCCGCACGCGCTCGTAGGGGGGGACGTCGGCAGGGGGAAGTCCTTGTGCGGCTCGGGCTTTTCGCGCTTGTCCTTTGGGATGTCGATCCTGCAGCAGCGGAACTCCACCGACGCGCAGCCATCCTTCTTCCTGTAAGCGGGAAAGCGTGAACACGAGGTCACATCAAGTTTAGATGAGCCGAACGCGCAAGCCCAAACCGAAAATTCAAGCCCGATGCGACGTCTTTTTCCGGTGGAAGGGGTTACCGGTGGCCGCAAACCTCCGCTATACACCCGAAAGCCGTCGCCCGCGCCGTCGCCTGAGAGCTTCGGGTTTGGGCTTCGGCTTACTCGTTCGGCTTGGCGGGTCCTTACCTCACGTCCAGCACGCCCTTCCCATCCGTGTTGTACACGCCCGTCGTGTTGTCGCACTGGTAAAACCATACGCACTCGCAGCGGTCGCCCGACCTGTCAGGGCAGTCGCACTGCCCAGGGCATACAAAACATTTTAGGGACCGAGCAAAAATTTCGCAATACACGAAGAAAGAATTAGTCATCAGAACTAATAAATTAGGTAATTTTAGAAATAGACAAGAAATTCACCGTGGCAGCTAACAATAGGTTGCCAGAGACTAGCGAGATGTAGATGAAGGAGCCAACCGGTTCGTTCTGACATCGAAACAACCTAGGTTGTCGGCTCCCATTCATCTCGCTGTAGCAGCCAACCCTTTTCTCCGGCAACCAATTATCACAGCAAATTTGGGATTATCCATCCCTAAATTAGCCAAATTGTTCATTCTGAGGACTAACTCTTCTTCTCCGTGTTGGTCATAGTGCGTTTCGTGACCCTCCTAGTTCGAGGGCCGGTAACCAGAGACGCTGCTGTGATCACTATGGCACATTGGCTGGGCTGGTCCCGCTGGTCCTCACCGGGTTGTAGAGGCCGGGCACGGGGGCCTCGGTGACGCAGGCGGGTCCGCCGAAAATTTCGCACGACTGGTCCTGATCCACCTCGGTAGACGCGGCCGTGGTGTCGTAGTCCTGCTGCGCCCGGGCCGGCAGCGCGGCGCTCAGCACCAGCACGCCGACCAGCAGCGATAATCTCACCACCGCGTCCATGGCGTCTCCTGCGGGGACACGTCAAGGTCTTAGCCGCTCGATATGTGGGGCTGCCCCGCGATTATTTAAATACCCACACACAAAGACGGGATTGCCACTCCACTCTGGTAAAAACGTAACAAACCGAAAAAACAAACAAGGGAGACGTAGAACACAAAACTAATGTTGTGCTCAAGGATAAACTCGCCCGTTTACGCATAGTGTGTGGAATCGCTTAGAAAGTGCGTCCGTCATTAGCCGTTACGAAACTGCCAAGTTCAGCCATTGAAAGGTCTCATAGCGCCTAATCGGTAGGCAACATTCTGCCTAGCGTGCATGCGTGTACCGCGGGGTGGCCTACCCTGCGTCTCGCAGGCGCCCAGCTCCCGTAATGTGTCGAATGAAAATGAGAAATACGGACGTACTTTCTGGACAGGACATGCCTTTGTATAAACAAGTAATGTGCAGTGTAAAATTCGTTTCAGTCTCAGAGACGCCTCACTTAAACAGCGTGGGTAAACGCGGACTTTAACGGGGGCGTATTTCCACTTGCCGTAACTCCCAAACTAATGATCTTGGACAAAAAATGACCCAATTTGCGGGCTGATTCGCTATAAATCTACATCATCCAGAGCGTCCCCGTTCTTCTCTACAATATGTTGGTGCTGTACCGCGTACTCAGGAGGAGTACCTGACTACCTCGCTGAGTACCTTGGTTTGGGAGCCGCGCCCGAACCCCGTGCATGCAAAAGAGCATCGGATTGTGCACGAATTGCTTCTCTGGTGTCAATAGATGCCTGAAGTCTGACGCACCGCCCCAGTTGTTTGACACGGTTTGATGGGGTTATCTCCTGCCTGATGGGCCTTGACGGGTTGGTTTCCGTTTCTTTCTATTTATCAAACACATCCTCCGCTCTGGTCGCACTGACCTGGGTATGCTCGACGCCTCGCGATTCCAACCGGTTCGCGAGGTGGGCCGTCTCCGGCCGTCTCGCCGGAGCGGAGCTGAGCGGAGCCTAGACGTACTGTGCTGCCCTGCCCTGCCCTGCCCTGCCCAGGCACAAAGAGGTCATCTCGGCCGCTGTCAGACTGACACGCGGGGCAGGGCTGCCGCCGCCGCCCGGAGCGTTCAGTCACCCTGCGGCCCCGGCGACGACGGTGAACCAGAGCGCGCGCTAATTGCTGAGCTTAACTTGAACTTGAAATTAAACTTTATAACTTTAAATGCTCAGCTCTGTTAGGAAGCGCAAGGGGAGACCGCCCGGAAGACGGCGTGAAGTGAGGCGCCTGGCGTGAGACGTGGGATGTGAGGTGGACAGGCATGCCAACCA